TATTCATCCATTTCTACTGTTATAGACATCTGTGTTACTTCCGTTTTTTTGCTATGACAAACAATGCTGCTATAAGCATGTTTCATAATGCAGTGTGCAAGAATTTCTCTAGATTGCATGCCTACTTATAGAACTGCTGGCTCAACTTTTTTTGTTTAAAGATTTATTTATTTATTCTAGAGAGAATGTGCAAGTGGGATAGGAGCAGAGGGAGAGAATCCCAAGCAGACCCTCTGCTGAGCAGGGAGCTCCACATGGGGCTCTAACCCACAATCCCGAGATGATGACCTGAGCTGAAATTGAGAATGGGAAGCTTAGCCAAATGAGCCACCCAGGCACCCCTGCTGGCTCAACTTTTAAATTTGATGTCTAATTGTGGTCAAAGTGGTTGGTATAATTTATACACAGCCATTACTAACACGTAGATTGTCTGATTTTTTAAAAAAGATTTTATTTGAGAGAGAGAGAGAGAGAGAGCACGCATGGGGAGAAGGGGCAGAGGGAGAGAGAGAAGCAGACCCCTGCTCAGTGGGGAGCCCCACATGCCGTTTGACCCCAGGACCCTGAGATCATGACCTGAGCTGAAGGCAGACGCTTAACCGATTTAGCCACCCAGGAGCCTCTAGATTGTCTGATTTTTAATTTTTGCTGTTTTGGAGGGTATGCAAATATATCTTGGAATTTTTAGTTTTCATCTCCAATTGCCAATGAGGCTTTCAAATGTTTATTGGCCAACCAAGTCCAACATGTCTTATTAGCTGTGATAACTTGGATGTGTTGCTTAACTTGGGTCTTCTTTTCTTCCTCAGTAAAAGGAGGGTAATGACATACACCTCACAAGATTTTGCCCTTTGGAGGAAGGACCTGCCATGGTAAAATGACATTTACTTAGCTTACTTTTAGATAGCATTTTGACCAGTACTGCTCTTCGGAGTAGATCGCTGGGTGATGCCTCTCTAAATGATGCAGCGATCAACAGAGAGATGATGGGTTCAGAGAAGCAGCCTGGTGAAAAGAAAGGGCGTATCAGTCTGTTAAAAAAAAACAAACAAGGGACGCCTGGGTAGCTCAGTCGGGTAAGTGTATGATTCTTGGTCTTGATCTCACGGTTGTGGGTTCGAGCCCCTGCTTTGGGCTCCACGCTGGGCCTGGAGCCTACTTAAAAAACAAAAACAAAAAACCAAGAAAAAAAAAAAAGAAAGAAAGAAAAGAAAGAAGCTCCCTAACGTTCATTGTTCTATTTAAGGTAACACTAACAGTTTTAATAAACAAACCCTAAATTTCAGTGGCTTAACAGAATAGAGTTCACATCTGGTTCCTGTGTTCCTAGTTAGGAGACAGCTTTTCTCCACTGATTTAGGAAACCAGGCTCCTTCCCCGTGGCTGCACTATGCCCTAGGGCCATGGAGTCTCCAGCTTCCAGCGGGCAGCAGAAGAAACAAGAGAGTCAAGAGGTCCTAATATCCACCCACTTCTTAAGTCTGTGCCTTGAAACGAAATCTCTCTTTTGATCACATTCCTTTGATAAGACCTAGTCACATGGCCGCATCCAGATGCAAGGAGGCCACAGAAATGTAGTCCTGGGTCGGGTTTCTACCTGCCAGCAACAACAGGACTCCACCGAAGGGAAGCCGCAGTCATACACAGTGTTAACCCGTGATGATTCTCCCCACCGTTGTTAAGACGAATGCAGGCTGCATTGCCATCCCCTCGTTCTGTCCCCGCTTAGGCAACATGATTCCCCTATTCCTGTTGATTCTCCTCTTCCTGCTCATTTTAATGTAGATCACACACTTTTGAGAAAGGATCAGGGGAGAAGACACATAGTTTTCTCCCTTCGTGGCTTTTGCCATGCTTTTTCCTCTGCTAAGGACCCTCTCCCAAACTAAACTGTGAGCTCTGGGAGAAGAATTGCATACTGTTTTCACTCAAGAATTTAGAGCTGGATCGAGGAATGCAAATCAGTGCTCCTCACACCTTAAGATGCACACCAATCACCTGGGGATCTTGTGAAACTGTAGATTCTGATTCAGTAGGTCTGGGGCTGGGCCCCAGATTCTGCATTTCTCAAAAGCCCTCAGGTGATGAGAGTGCCACTGGTCCAAGGAGAACACTCCCGTAGATGCCCAACCGTTCATTTACTGAACAGATCTTTATAGAGCACCTACAATGTGCCAGGCATTGAGGATACAACAGTGAATGGGCTAGGATAATAATTTGCCACTCCTCAGATTGCAAGTCTATAAATATTCAACATTTATATGGTTAATTAAAGTTTTTTTTTTAAGATTTTATGTATTTAGTTGAGAGAGAGAGTACACAAGCAAGGAGAGGGGCAGAGGGAGAGGGAGAAGCAGGCTTCCTGCTAAGCAGGGAGCCTGACGCAGGCTCTGTCCCAGGACTCTGGGATCATGGCCTGAGCCAAGGGCAGATGCTTAACCGACTGAGCCACCCAGGCGCCCCTAGTTAATTAAAATTGTACATCAGAGCCATACCAACTGCCCAACTGGCCAGTGACAGAGACAAAGCTGTACACTTACGAAGTCTCATTTAGTTTTCTTCTCTCTGGGTAAAAAAGGAGACTACATTTTCCCGAGCTCCTTTGCAGTTATGTTAAACTTAAAGACTAGTTTCAGGGTAATGGCGTGTGGGTTGAAGTGATGTGAGCCAACCACAAGTCAGGTAATTGAAAATATTCTCCAGGGGGCACCTGAGTGGCTCAGGTGGTTAAGCGTCTGGTTCTTGGTTTCAGCTCAGGTCATGATCTCATGGTCGTGAGATCGAGCCCCTAGTTGGGCTCTGCGCTCAGTGGGGAGTCTGCTTGAGATTCTCTCTCTCCCTCTGCCCCTCCCCCCATGTGCATGTGCTCTCTCTCTCAAATAAATAAATAAGTCTAAAAAAAAAAAACCCGTTCTACAAGACTTTCTTGATTATTATTTCCCCCATCATTAAAATCTTAGAGGGCAGAGGTTGAGATGGTAGTGTTGTTGTATGACAGGGGGTCCAGATATGATCGATGGATCAAAGTTGCGCTGGAGAGTCACCTGATCTGTCTCATCTTTTGCACAGGTGAAAGCCTTCGTGGTATTAACTCACCGGGACGATGGGGTTTATTTTTCCCTGTAGCACAAGCTGGCTACCTAATACTGTTCTGACTATTAATCCAGGTAGGACCTACCACAATGTGTTGCACCTAGTTGCCTCATAAATATTTCTCCAGATGAACGAATTAGATTGGTTTATACTCTTTGCCACCCTGTTCCAGTCCTGACCTCAATTGTAGGCATGTACCAAAAACTCAGGTTATATGTTAAAGAAATGTGGAGCATAGGAAGAGCTTTAGTAAATACTGGCTTAATGAAAGAAGAGAGAAGTGAGAGATTTTCACACTCAGTTTCCTGGAAAGGATTTAATTATTTTCTTTTTAGGATAAAGTATCAGAATCAAACATGCTCAGTACAAAGGTTTTGGAGAATTTTTGAGAAAAACAGGACAACATTTTCCCCATTGTGTGCCCCCTCTCACATAACCATCATTTACACTGCTGTATGTTCTTCCCAGGTTTTTGGCCACTCATTTTTGTTACAGTGTTGCGCTCACACTCTGGACTTTCTGGCCTGCTGCTTTCTGCGTTATTATGTAGTGGTCGGGTGGTTGATTGTTAGTGGTTACATCAGAACCCATCTCAGGGATGAATCCTTTAATTCTTTCCTCCTTTGACCATTTAGGTTGTTTCTAACTTACTGTTTTCACAAATGGTGTTGTGACAAACCTGTTTGTATAGCAAGATTTTCTGTATGTAGAATAATTTCCTTTAAGGTAGATCTGAATGGAAAAAAAAAAAAGCGTCTTTTAAATGACCTCAGGCCAAAAATCTCAGGCTGAAGGTGACTCAACTCAGGTTAGGACTTTGTGAAAGTTTCAGAGCATGCCTTCCAGTCCAATGCTCGGCCTTGAATTAGGTCAAGTTCAGCTTCTTCATTCGTGTGATTCTCTAAAACACATATACTCAACCATATTACATGTATATTTAAAGACGTTTAGGCCAAATATAAATTTTTTGGAATCAGTCTCCTAAAGCACAGTTATTTTATATGATGCTGTAAGGGCAAATATCACACACACAAGCACACATGTGCCCTGGAGAATTATGAGGCATGTACATACATCTGGCTAGAAAATGGATGTATGAGGAAAGTCTCTCTTGAGCCTGAGGTTTTATTTAATGAGGCGGCTCAGCAAATGCAACAACAATAAGAAATAAGGACATTTCTATTCTGGCCATCTTTCTTTTTGGAATGGGACTAGGAAGAAAGAACTGAGCACCTCGTAGCTGACCCCTACCTCATTAAGTCAGTGGCAAAATAGAAATGATTCTGCTGCCCCTTGTCCGATGTCTCTTGGAAATTGTGATGAACTTCCAGTAGAGGACTCAGCTTGTGGCTGAGGTGTGAAAGAAATATCCTGGTTTTGGTGGGGAAGTCCTGATATTGAATACCCTCTAACTGTATAGCTTTAGGTAACTTTTTTTTTTTTTAAAGATTTTATTTAATTACTTGAGAGAAAGAGAGTGAGAGAACACAAGCAGGGGGAGCAGCAGAGGAGGGCAGCGAGAAGCAGACTCCCCGCTGAGCAGGGAGCCCGACGCAGGGCTCGATCCCAGGACCCTGAGATCATGACCCGAGCTGAAGGCCACTGCTTAACCGACTGAGCCACCCAGGTGCCCTTAGGTAACTTATTTTTACTGAGTCACTTTATTTGTAAAATGAGATCATCATCACAATGACTGCCTCACAATATGGATGCAAACATTCAACACAATAATGGATAAGAAGATGCTTTTAAGAATTGCAATTCTCTGTACAAAGAATGATATTTGCTGTTCCTTCCCTACTTCTTCCACCCCCTTCGGAACCAGGGCTGCTCTCCGTTTGGTCAATTCACAATGTGATTTGGAAGATGCTGTGCCTTCCTCCTTCCAACAAATAACCTTGCAGGACTCAGCAGGGAGAGATACTGACCCGGAGCTTCCTCTGCACCGCGTCCTTCACCTCCTTGTTGCGGAAGCTATAGATGAAGGGGTTGAGCATGGGAATTATGATGGTGTCAAACACGGACACTATTTGGTCATTGGTATCATTAGTGGATCCATGAGGCTGGACATAGGTGAAAACCACAGTGCCATAGAAAATGACAATGGCCAGCAAGTGGGAGGCACATGTGGAGAGGGCCTTCTCCCGCCCAGCTGCTGAGCGCATCCTCCCAAAGGCCACCAAGACCAAGCTGTAGGAGGTGAGGATGACTGCAGCAGGCAGAAGGGTAACCAGAGCGGAGAAGATATAGAGGACCACTCCTGCTGTGGCTGTGTTGGCACAGCCCAGTGGAGAAGGGGAGGGATGTCACAGAAGTAGTGTGTCACCTGGTTGGGCCCACAGAAAGGCAGAGCAAGACATTCCCAGTCTGGATAGCAGAGTTGGTGCCACCAAATGCATAGGAAGCAGCTACCAGCTGGAGACAGGTCTCTTTGGTCATGACTGAACTGTAATGGAGGGGTTGGCAGATGGCCGCGAAGCGGTCATAGGCCATGGAGGCCAGCAGGAAGCTCTCAGCTGTCACATGCACCACAAAGAAGGTCAGCTGGATCACACAGCCCTCGGAAGAGATGGTCTTGTCAGAGGCCAGGAAGTTGGCTAAGAGCTTGGGTGTGACCACAGAAGAGTAACAAAGATCAAGAAAAGAGAGGACACTGAGGAAGAAATACATGGGACTATGGAGACGGGAGTCTGTGAAGATGAGTGCCATCATTCCCAGGTTGCCCATCACCGTGATGGCATAAATGAGCAGGAAGGTTACAAATAGAAGCTCCTGGAGATCTGGATAGCTGGAGAATCCCAACAAGATGAACTGGGTAACTGGAGTGTGGTTGCCACTTGCAAGGGCTAGTTCTCCAGGTGTCATCTGCAGAGGTGACAATTGATAATCACTCAAACAGGAATTACCTGAGCATGTCCACCGCTGTGCATAGGACGATGAGGGAGAGTATAAGCAAGTATAAGACTTCTTGCACAAGAAGCTAATGGGAAGCATCGTGCATAGTGGAAAGGACATGAACTGTGAAGCCCAACAGACCTGAGTCCTAATTCTGATTATGGCACGAACTAGTTGTGTATCCTTGGATAAGCTATATCAATGAGCTTTAGTTTTCTTGTCATGAAATGAAGAAAATATGCCTATGTTTCAGGGTTGCTGCATGGCCTAAATGAAAAAATGAATGTAAAATATCTGAATGTCTGGGACACAGTAGGTGATCAATAAATTATGAGTCCTCTTCCCCAATTTCTAGTGCCTGTATCTATAAATAGGCTTATGACTGGATTTGACAATTATTTCATTCATTTTAGAAATCAAGATATAATTCACATACAATAAAATTCACCATTTTAGGGGCACCTGGGTGGCTCAGTCAGTTAAGCATCTGACTCTTGATTTCAGCGCGGGTCATGATTTCGAGGTCCTGGGATTGAGCCCCATGTTGGGCTCTGTGCTCAGTGGCAAGTCTGCTTGAGATTCTCTCTCCCTCTCCCTCTGCCCCTCCCTGCCCTGGGTTCTCTCTATCTCTCTAAAATAAATAAATGGGAGCACCTGGGTGGCTCAGTTGGTTAAGCATCTGCCTTCGGTTCAGGTCATGATCCCGGGGTCCTGGGATCGAGCCCCACCTCGGGCTCCTAGCTCAGCGGGGAGCCTGCTTCTCCCTCTCCCTCTGCCTGCTGCTCCCCCTGCTTGTGCTCTCTCTTTCTCTGTCAAATAGATAAATAAAATATTTAAAAATAAAAATAATAAAAATAAAATAAATAAATGAATAAATAAATAAATAAAATTTTTAAAAAGAATAAAGTGTACGATTCAGTGGTTGTGCAACCATCCCCATTATTTAGTTGCAGAACACTTTTATCACCCAAAAGAGAAAACCCCATGGCCATTAGTAGTCACTCCCCATTCTACCCTTCCCCCAGCTCCTGAAAATCATTAATCTACTTTCTGTCTTTATGGATTTGCCTATTCTGGACATTTCATATAAATGGATTCATTCAATTAGTGGCTTTGTGTGTCTGGCTCCTTTCACTTAATATTTTCAAGGTATATCCATGTTGTGGAATGTATGGGTATTCATTCTGTCTTATATTTAAACATCCTTCAGGGCATCTCCTCTATATAGTAACCATTGTGTCCTCTGAGAATCTATTGAGTTGAATGTTACCTGGGAGACCATCAGCTTGGAAATAGTGTTTTAGTGCTTGCTTGACTGTCCTCCAAGATGTTTATCTGTAGGAGAACTGGAAATGTCCACAATCCTTTCATTCTTCCCCATACTTCCCTCTTTCTTCTGCCCCTCATCTTCTACCTCCTTGGGGATCTGGGATACATCCTGAAAATTAGTCCTAGGAACACCTCACCAACCTCTTCATCCATGTCAAATGGTTTATGTGGAAGACAAGGAGGAAGTGTGGTGTCTCCTTGCAGAAGAACATGGAATAACCTCACCTTTGTTCCCACCTGCTGTAATAGGTACAGAGCGCGGTACTGGGCTGACAGGATAGAGACCGGCTTTCTAGTTCCAGCTCTGTTACCTTGGGCGATTCTCCTCTCTCTGATTCCTCATTGGCAGAGTCAAGGTTTGGCATGGAAGATCTCAGAGATCACACCTGGCCCTGGTAATGCCAGTGAGTGAGTGCATCTGCCCTGAACTTGTTCCTGGGGATGGAGCTTTGTGCCAGCATAGCCCCAGGCAACACAAAAAGATTCCATGTTAACTTGTCCAGGAAAACGATATTCTATACCTGATAGTAACAGACAGTTTTAGGAGACTCTGTCCAACTCACAAGAATCTATTCAAGGGGCGCCTGGGTGGCTCAGTTGGTTGAGCGACTGCCTTCGGCTCAGGTCATGATCCTGGAGTCCCGGGATCGAGTCCCGCGTCGGGCTCCCTGCTCGGCAGGGAGTCTGCTTCTCCCTCTCCCGCTCCCCCTCTTGTGCTCTTTCTCTCTCTCACACTCTCTCTCTCAAATAAATAAATAAAATCTTAAAAAAAAAAAAAAAAGAGAATCTATTTAAGTACCGTGGCCACTCACAGCAGTGATCCCTGGCAAATATTTTGTACATGAAGGAGGACGTTATGAGAAACCTTGTTAACATGAATGAATAGATGGGAAATGAGGAGTTTTGTTATGGTAGTGCCACTCAAATCATTGAACTTCTTAGTTAATGCCAAGAATCACATACTGATGTATCATCAAAAATTATATTTAATGTTGCATCGTCTGTCAATTTGAAAAGATCCTCCCTCTATTCTGTTGAAAGATTTCCATCTGACTTAAAAAGGATTTTATAGGCTATCATTAAAATCATTTACTTTTTCAACACCTATTTATGAAACTACTTCTTTGTGTGGTATCCTGGAAGTTTAGTATGCCAGCAAAATGCCTTATACTAAGAGTCAGGATGGGTTAGAAGCACACATTTTTTTTTTTTTTCAAAAATGAAAGAAAGACAATTGTGAAGGGGGAGACGAGCAAGGAGTGCAGCACTTCTCTCCCAGATGCATTTCCAAGGACATTGGTTTTATAAAAGAGTAGATGTGGACCTTGAGGTTCTGGAAATTAGTTCCCTTTAAAATCGCTTTGTCCATGAACCCCTTGAAAAGTCTTTACCTCACCCTCAGGAGTACACAACCCTAGTTTGAAGAATGTGGCCCTAGAAACACTGGTCAGTCCCAGGACACTGCCCTCTGTCTTCCTGCCTCTTCTCCCTCTCAGGGCTGTTCTTGTGATTTTGTGACCCTAGGAGAATTCACTGGAACACTCTGCACCCTTCAGAGACCAACCTTCTGTTTAGTACAAAGATCAGAATATCCAACCCTGAAAGTCAGGGTCCCAGTGATGGGGCAGAATCCTATCATGTGATTCTGTCTTGGAGTTTAACCTAGCAGAGTCAGGTTCCTGCTCTGTACTCCACTTTCTCCACCAAGTGCCCAGTGTATCTTTTATGCTTGCTCTTCCTTTTCTACCTTTCTTAGGGATTTAGTTGTGTCCAAATCTAAATATCCACAAGTCTCTGATCTACCATGAATATTAATGTTTTCATTATTCTCTGATAGGATGACAGCTAATCCTCTACACACACACACACACGTGCATGCACAATCACACTCAATGTTGTTTTTAGGGGTGAGCTCCTAGATCCTGCTCACCAGTAAATAAGGTTTCTTGTCCTCATCCCCAAATCCTCCTTTCCCACCATATTCCCATGGTCCAGACTGTGTTCCCTCCTAATCCTTTGCTACTCCCATCCTGACTTCCAGATGGCCATTCGATTCCTTCAGACCCACACCCACCAATAATTCTTGATTGTGGTGACCTCGAGTAACAGCCTTATAGATGTACCCTGAGGTTCTCAGTGTGCAAAGTACCCCTAGGCATCCTCCGTAAATCCTACAAAGCCATCCCTCGGCCCTTCTTGTCAGATTTCCCTTACCCAACTGAATTCTCTGTGTGCGGGTATCATTTGGCAGCTGAGTCTCACTCACACAGATGTATTTAGAATTATTTAACAGGGCTTCATCAACGTTGCTATCTTTCTTTCCTCCCACTGGGTTGTTTTGCTTTCCCATCACATTATAACTTCTGAAAGCAGAGGCTATTCTAAGTTTTGTATCAAGTGCATTTGAGCAATTACTGTTATGCAGAAGTATTTCAACCAATGCAGTTCGAAAGTATTTAAGCTACTATAGTTGCCCAAAGTATTTAAATAACTACTGTTCAAATAGGGTAGGACATGGCTTTGGCCACTTAGGATCTTGAAATTTTGCTGAGAAAGATACTCATTCCCATGAAACAAGAGTGAAGTTGGGTGGTGCCCTTTCGATGGTAAAACCCACTGGAGGGGTCGAGAAGGCTTCAGAAACAGGAGCATGGGGCTGATCCTTGCGGGAGGATGGTGCATTGGAAATGATGCATTGGAAAGAGTCAGGAAACCTGGTAGAATTACTCAACCTTTTTGGGCCTCAGTTTCCCTAGTTTCTGAGGGCAGAAAGACAGTGGGTATCCATGGACTTAGCACACTTCTGGCAACAGGGTAGGCCCCTGGTATACATTAAGTTCTGTCCCACCCCAAGTTAGATTATGAACACGCCATGGATGGGGAGCTGGAAGAGATTGCTCAGGACCCCGCAGTGGGATCTCAGGAATGCTTAAAGGCTGACAGTAGGGGATGGGGTGGGTGCAGATTTGGGGAGAGAGGAAGGAGAAGTTAACAGGCAACCTCAGCTTTCTGAATCTGCTCTGGTGGAACTCAGTGGAATTTCCAATAGGCAAATCCCAACCTTAGCAGACAATGCTCCCAAGCCTGATCCACCTCAAGATCCTCTCAGCCCAGTCACATAGGGAAGAATCTGGGACTCACTTTTACTCCAGCCTGTGTCTTTCAGGTTGTCCTCCCTAGAGCTGTTTCTGGGATGGCCACACATCCAAACCTGGTGACAAGTCACACAGCTTAAGAATGAGGCTTTGGGTGCATCCTGGTTCTGCCGGGCTTATAAAAAGCTAGCTCCATCCCCTCTTGATCCCAGGTGGCTGCAGGGGCTCAGAGCTCTGGGAAGGTGCTGGAAATATACCCACCCCCATATCCTCTTCAGGGGTCTTGCAAGGTTCAGGCCTCAGGGAAGAAGAGCCAATCCCTTGTAGACTGTGGTCACTTGCTTTGGTCTTGAGACAGAGGGATGTTAGGGTCTCCTGGAGGAGTTGGAGTTTATGGTTCATTCATACCAGCAGAAAGACTCAGCAGAAAGACTCCCTGACTCCTCCTTGGAGTCTGAAATCTGGATGAAAAAAAGCTTGCCCCTTGGGAGCTTGCAGAAAACCGGGGGACAGTTTACCCAGCTAACCCCACTAAACGACCCGGGG